GGGGGGTGGGGGTGGGGGGAGGACCAGAGAGGATGATTCAACCACTCAACCACTAGATGTCACTGAAAACAAGAAATCCTACACACTGTGCCTTTAAGGGAGATTCTCCTCTCCACTGTCACCASTGAGCTGCTCAGGATGGGAGACTGTCGTGAAGTGATTCAACGCAATCTGCTGGCTTTTGTAGATTGATAGTTACTTGGCACAGAGGTTAGAGAAGGTGATCCTGTGATCAGAAGACTGCTGGTTCAACTCCCCGGAYAGACCAGCCCCAYTTTGGGCCCTTGAGCAAGGCCCTTAACMCCTCAGCTGTTCCACRGCCGCCTCAAAAATGGATGCCCACTGTTCCACATGTGTGTGCTCACRTGTGCGATGGATGAAAAGCAGAGAACTCTTAAATTTCCCCAAGGGGATCAATAAAGTATCWATCTATTTCAATTCTCTTTAAATTCAGATTCAAACCATTMAATTCAGTTTCAATTAAGTGAAATTATTTTTCCGACCAATGCATTAAATTTCAGATTATGTAAAACAGAATCAAACTGAGCAATTCAAATTCAGTTTCTGCTGGCACAAGTTTCTTCCCATAGCCAGATCCCTTCAAAGAAAATAATATTCTATCTCTAGCGTCAATGTCCCAATGGACCTGACTGTATTCTACAGAGGGAGAAATTATGGTGATTTATCCCACCCAACACAATACTTCAGTTATATACTATACAAGAAAACATTGAAATTTATTGTGGTGGTAAATTAGCAAAAGAAAATTGGTCAAAACTACTGTGTAGAAACCCCCCCCCCCCCCCCCCCCCCCACACACACACACACACACACACACAAACACACTTTATGGATGATTTCTGGGGTCTAATTTTTCACATTATACATGCATAAATACAGTAATCTCTAACTGCTCCCAGACCCCTTAAATTTCTTCCCGTTGTTCCATTTGGAGGCATTTCAAGCRTGAGAAATCAAATGCAAAGCACAACATCTATCTTTGGGAACATGCATTTATGACAATACATAGTACATTTACTTGTATCCACGTAGTATTGGAGTAGAAACAACTGTTTTAAACTTCTGAATTTTTTGGATGTGTCATTTACCATAATCAGGTGGGTGGTCTCCTAGAAGGGCTGGCTGCCTCTGGCGTTTGTTAGAATTGGCGTTGGGATCTGAAATTGGTAAAAATAATTTTTTAATCAAATTGCTTGTCATGCATCACACAAATACCTCACAAAATACTTTTACATGCCAATGAACAAGTTTGTGAATTACATGCAACAAAGCATACAGACCCCTTTTAAGTGTTTCAAAAAATAATTAAAAATTGTTTGAGACATAATGGAGATTTTTTTTGCAAAGTGGTTTAAGCCGTCAATGCGTTTAAAAATGACTCGTCTTTCAGTCTATTAACACACAAACACACCTTGTGAATTGTTCCAATTGCCTTCACCATCTGCATCTGTGCAAGTACACATACACATGTCAAATCCAATTACAAAAAAAACCTATCAAATTTGCATTACTAGACACATTTTTTGCAAATATTAAACATTTATACATAAATGAGACATTAGTACTGAGATCAAAAAGAAAGTGCAATGCCACGAACAGTGCCTGTTTATTTTATTGAAAAACATGAAGTCTGGTTGCAAGTTTACAAACCAAGACAAAACAGAATACAGACTAAAACCTTTGTCACTCATCTCATTGTGAAAAGAAAAAGTTAACCCTGACCTCTAAATTTGTCATCAGCTCAGTAAACCTTGACATCCATAATCACATTTTGGTTTTAAAGATGTTTTATAGAAATCAAACATAACCTGTTTTGTAGGCTCCACTTCTTAACGTTTAGGAGATAAACCAAATTTTTGACCGTGCAATTATGAAAACTATGCAGTTTGTTATGATTTGAATTGGAGATTTAGAGAACAAAAGCACCAATACGACTTCAGTTATATAAAACATACATTGTGTTATTACCCAAATACACTGGCAGGCATTCARTTCTGAGTAACTTTTAGGTCTCTTACAGACTCCATCCAAAGCTGTGAAATGCACTTTCATTGTGGCAGTTGCATGACTTTGCATCTTTTTGTTCACAAACCTTTTCACAGGTGAATGCACAGAGTATTGTGTGATTGGTTCATTGGTATATTTGTTTATGCAGAAAAGTGCTCAGATAGCAATGGTGGCATTTTTCTTCAATTATTCTGCTTCTAGAAGCAGGCTGTTGTGCATCCAAACAACATGGGATAATTTTAAGGATCAGTCGGCTGAGGCAGTCAGAAAGTACATCTGACTATATGACTCTGGACTGGATGGAGAGAGCACAGATTTTGTGCACAAATTGTGTGTCCAGATGGTGGATATTATAGTGGAATCTCCAATAGGAAAGAAACCCTGTGCTGTGATGTGTACTGCAACAGGAGAGGTTTTCCAGCTCTATACCATGTGTCTCTGGGCTATGAAAGGTGTGTGAAAACAAATGCCTAGCAATCCAGTGACTGGCTTAGGATCAAGTATGTTGGGCCCTTTCAGGTCTAGGGCTGCCACGATTAGTCGACTAGTCACAATTACATCAACTATTAAAATCGTCAATGACTAACAGTCAATGTGTCGTTTTTTCTTTTTTTCTAACTTTGTATTTTATTTTTATAGTCGACTAATCGGTGATTAGTCGACTATAAAAATACTATACTATAAATATAATCTATACAAATAATCGTTTGAGCCAGCCCTAATTACCACTACTGCACATGTGTGTCAAGGACAGGAAGGCAGACATGGCAGTGAAAAGTGTCGCAGCAGTTTGGAGAGAAAAACAAAGTTAGAAAAAAAACAAAAAACTGATGCATCAACTATTAAATTAGTCGACAATTTTAATAAGTCGACAATAATGGTGAGTAGTCGACTAATGGTGGCAGCCCTGTTCAGGTCCCATCACAAGATTTCAATTCACTTGAGGTCTGGACTTTTACATAACCAGAACAGACTAAGCGTCAGTTTCAGATGGTCTACATTTGACTTTATAATCTTTTGCTTCACAGTTCTGTGTTGACCTAAAAACTGCAAGATGATCAGGTTCTGAGGCTGAAACAAACAAACAAACAAACAAACAAACAAAAGCTTATAACATCAACCTAAACCCCCCAGGATTGGCAATATGTATGGGGTATTGTGCTGATATCTTGCTTGGCCAAAGACTGTAGCTTCATGTTGTTTAGACACACTCATACACATTTAAAGAAAACAATTGTAAGGACTACGCAACATACAGTTAAATGTCATCTTTACCTGTCTGCAAGGGTCTACAAGGTGTTTGTGTCCACATGAACTGTGTGCAGTAACAATGTCAGCACAATGTTAAACTCAAATTTAAAGGTGGGGCTAATGACTCAACAAACAGTGTCAATCAGAGGCAGAAGAAAAAATAGTTTACTGACTAAAGAAAATTTCTAAAGCTTTTATCCACCTATTGACAATTACTTATTGAGGAACCCAAATGACCTTCCAGAGATTGTGGCAGTGGGATATTTCAGTAATATAAACTAAGTATGTTTTTCCCCACAAACAACGTCAGAATACAAAATACCTATACAAGGCTTTATGTTATTTTATTGTTTTAGCTCATAGCACTGGCATTACAGAGATTGTTGGGTTTGTAGCAAATAATAAAAAGTTGTACCACCAGCAAAAAATGTCTGATATAAACTCTAAAACTTCTCATCCTCTCAAAAGCACAAATTGTAGGTGTTGTTGTRGGACAGGGGTTACCAACCTTTCTGACTGAGTAAGTTGATGGGAGTAACAYGAACAACTACTTGTTTGATACATACATTTACACAGCTCACCTTTAATAAATTTACATGTGAATATTTGACTGCCTGACTAAATCCTAATGTTAAAGACTCCTCGTGATAATTAGCAATAATAATTTACTTATTACTATTAATAAAAAGTGATTAGAACTCTGTGAATCATCAGGTGGATCTGAGTCCAGATTTCTCCGTTTGAACCACTTTTGGAGCTCTTCTTTGTGACTGGGAGTGTGACGGTTGTTTGTCTCTTTGTCTGTGTCCCTGATGGACTGGAGACCTGTCCAGGTGTCCCCTGCCTAAAGACTGAGGTAGGCTCCAGCCCCCACCCCAACCCTGATTATGAACAAGGAGGTCATTAAGGATGGATGATTTTTCTTTGTAGCAGGAAACAGACATTTAATTATAAAACATTGTTTATTTTATGCTAATATAAATCAGTATTATTTGAAACTCAACGTATTTTGTAAATATATTTGATAGTTTTGTAAGAATGAACATGTTTGTAATGTTTATTCAAAATAAATCTGTTTTAAATTAACTATTAGTAAAACCTTAAAATCTTAGTTATTAGTTACAAAATAAAATTATCAAAGAAAACTTCCTCTTAATCACTGACAATAATTTATTTACCGCATTTTAATGCTTGTTTCTAATCTGGGCCCAAGAGTTAAAGCTCCTGAAAAGGGCTGTGTCTGAGCTGTGACTGCAAGGTGTGAGTGTGATAAGAGACCGAGGAGTTGAGGGGTAAATCAGCTCTGTGTTTCCATGAGTCCAGCATGACTTATGGATTAACAGCAGCTCCTTTTGCCTGGATTTATAGTATTCTGAGTTCATGAACGATTCTGGTTACTTTTTTGAATGTTGAGGACCAGTACATTAGCTCATAGCTGCGCTGCTGAGCGCAATTTTTAGAGCATGAATGGACCTGCAAGCACGCAGGGTCTATGTTGATGATTCTTGCTGTGTAAGAGTAATTGTATTGGGAAAGTAACCATCAGAGTTGTGTAGTAACTAGTTACATTTACTCAGTTACACTTACTTGAGTAACATTTTGGAAAAAATGTACTTTTAGGAGTACTTTTACTTGAATAATTTTTATTATGAAGTATCAGTACTCGAGTAAAATTTCTGGATACTCTACCCACTGTAACTTCATTTTAATGAGCTCGTGTTCAAAAAAAAAAAAAAAAAATCTCCTGACACAGACACACCTGCAGTTTTTGTTAGTTTCATAAATTTTACATTGAAAGAAACTGATTTGGAAAACATTTTGTTTTGCCGAATTTGTTATTATGCTATTTATATGAATTGTTTTCATTCTGATTTTTAAAATACCAACATTTCCACCCAGCTTTATACTGTATTTTGGTCTGTCTGATGATGTAAACTTAAATATTAAATGAATGACGTCTCGATTGGTTACTCAGTACTTGAGAAGCCTTTTTAACAAATACATTTTTACTCTTACTTGAGTCACTTCTTGGATGGCTACTTTTTTACTTTGACTTGAGTAAAAATATGTTGAAGTAATGCTACTCTTAATTGAGTAAAATTTTTGGGTACATTACCCACCTCAGGTAACCATGCCATGCCTAGCAAAAAGAATAAAATAAACGAAAATAAAAAAGGAAGCTTGCAAAGCAGTTGTACCAGTGTAGTGTGAATACTTTTTTATAGCCCAAAGCTTTTTTTCATCGCACATGCAACATATACAGTATGTCGCACTCTATAGCCCTACTAGAATTCATAACATCACAATGCGTAATTGGGAATAAGAACTTAAGCAGTTTTATAAACCAGCAGTAAAAGCAACAAAAACCACAAAATTCCTTCAAAAATAAAGTTTTTAAAGTATCTTTTGTAATTACTTGACAGCAAAAAAAGCTACTGACAGGTCATAAATCCTTTTAATACTTTAATGTAGCAATTTCTTTTTATTAAAGGGATCCCTGATTAGTTGTAACATTAGACTTTATTTGATAAACATATATCTTAATTGTACAATAAAGACTGTAAAAAAGCTGTTTAGTTTTGTAAATTTTTAAGAATATATTTTAACATTGACGGAGCCATTTTATTTACACATAAAGCATTCTGGGTAAATGATGACATCAACTAGGTCCTCGGTGCGAGGCTGCTAGCGAGCTATATCCACCCTGAAGTTTAAGCTTGGACAATATCTGAAGATTTGCTCTTTTAAATGAAACCAGAGAGTATTGACAGAGAGGAGAAGGTAGAAATGACTCAGCCTGTAACTGAAAATGTAGATGGAGGACAACAGAGCTGCTTCATGGAAGAAGAACCTCAGCTTAGCCTGTTAGCCTTTGCACTATTGACTTATGTATTAGCTCAGCACTACCTCAACAAACAAGCTAAACTGAGGTCCTCCATCTATATTTTCAGTTGCAGGCTGAGTCGTATT